CGGCGTGGACCACAGCGTCTGCTGCAACAACCACGATGACGTGGGCCACAGCGCCTATGTTGACAACGGCCGCATTAGCGATAACGCCGATGTCGACGACAGCTACGGCGTCAAGAACAACGATGGCGGGGGCAATGACATCTGCGTCGGCGACGACAAACGCATCAGCGGTAACTATAACAATGTCGTCGATACCTGTTGCGTCAACGATAGCGCTGAATATGATACCTCTCCCCCCAACAACGACAGCATTGGCCACAATGCCTACTTCAACAACGACAGCCGCTCAATCACTAATTGTAGTGAGCGTAAGTGTAAAATGTTGTATAAATGTGGGTTAGATTAAGGGGATGCTGGAGTGATTCTGCACTTCCGCACCTTTTGCACTTAAAACTGTCTGTTTCGTGGAAAGTTTTGTGTAATACACAAATTAAATGGCACGTATACAGACGATCGAAAGCAGCTTGCTATTCCGGCTAAGTTAAAGAACAATATGACATCACTGAAACTAAGTTTGTAAGTCTAATAAAAAATAATAGTGAGCAACACATATACTACATGTACTGTATGTATGTGTTGCTCACTATTACTTCTTATTAGACTTACAAACTTAGTTTCAGTGATGCCATATTGTTCTTTCATTTAGCCGGAATAGCAAGCTGCTTTCGATCTGTACACGTAAGTCATTTAATTTGTATATTACACAAGTGTTTCCGCGAACTGATAGTTTCTAGGTTAGAAAGGTGCAAAAGTGCAGAATCACTTTTTCAGAGTATTAATATTGAATTTATATATGTATACTTTTATATTTAACTTTTAATTAATATTATTTATAATGATCGTTATTCGTAAATATTTTATGGATACCTTTAGATCTGCGAGAAGAGAGTTGCATGAAATTAGTATCAGTCGCAGTATATTTCCTACAGTGAATTGATTGTATAAATGTCTTCAATTGTATATGTATATTACAATTGTAAATGTATATTACTAGCTTCGCTTAATTTAATTATTGCTTTTTTTCCATATACATATACGTTAACATATATTTTGTTATACGTTTCTCACGTTTCAGAGAGAAGATTTAAGTAATCTCATAACAACAGCCGTCAGGAACGCTCTAAGAGAACAAAGGCAATATGAAAGAAGAGGAAGAGAAAGGGGAAGAGGAAGGGGGAGAGGAAGAAACGTCTATATAAACTGCTATGGAACATGCAAATATCATATTTACAGGCAATAAACATATGTAACATATACATTAATACATGTAATAAAACTAACGTATACATAATATAAACGTAATATCTAACGAAAACACATAACTTATATATAATATAAACATATACATTGTGATACATAAAATACCTATAACAAGAGTTCATATATTATCACATTTGCTTATGCAAGTATAGTAATATACAAAATACATAATTACATTTCTTTATCTCCGGAAGTTAACAATTTATATTAATCACAAGCTAACTATATAATATCTCTGATAATATTCACTTGCATTACATTTTAATTTTTGTAACGGAAGAACTCGAGTAATTGCGATGATAAAAGTTTTGCGAAAGTGATGCAACTTTGTAAGGTCAATTTCAACAATTTCGTAGCTTCGACGAGTTCAAAGTTGTATGTACATACAGTTACCTTAAGGCCATTCTACAATTGCGTAAACGTGGTTGTTAGCGGTTGTAGAGTGTTGTAAAACACAGTTTTAATCTAGCATTTCCGATTGTAAAGCCTGTTGTAAAAGATGGTTGAACTTCATCTTTCACGACTACAACGACGTAGGACGTAAAAATTAACCAATCGTTCACTTGAATTATGACGTATCTCACTCTATTGTAAGGTGCAGTGGGGTAAATCCGTACACGGGGCAAATCCGCACTAGGCCCTTATTTATTCGAATATACGTTGCATTGTACCAACTGTAAGGTAGAAATCTTCCTTTGGTTAGTATTCAACAGTGAACTCTATACATACTGGAATGAGTGATCTATTGTTCTGGCTGTTGCCGAGAGAGAGGTGCGTTTGGGTGAATCCTTGTCTCCTTCTAGTACTACCTGATTGGATAGTCGCACATAAATGACGAGAAGAAGGGCGTCATTTATATGCGATTATCCAATCAGGTAGTACTAGAAGGAGACAAGGATTCACCCAACGCACCTCTCTCTCGGCAACAGCCAGAACTAGAGATCACTCATTCCAGTATGTATAGAGTTCACTGGTATTCAATGATCAACATAGGTAGTCGCCATGTATTCTGTGATTCCCCCGTTTAACTTGTTCGAGAAAGTTCATGGTGTTTCCAGGTGCAGAGCAAAGATTGAGCATTATAAAACGATAATTTAAGCAATAGTTTACAAATCTATGTGTTTATCTTCGATAGGCACAAAGTATAGTAAGGTAAGTTTCCTTTATAGTAATAAAATATTATATTATATTATATCATAAATATTATATTATATTCAATAATTTTTAAACAGGTAGGTGCGGTTTTGCCCCAGTTCCGGGGCAAGTCCGCCCTAGCAGCACTGTTGTTAATTTATTAAGAAAATCACAAGTTTCAGAAGTTATTTTTAATCCAAATTAATGCAACTTAAAGAATAAACCATGCGCTAAATAAAAACACTAAGATTATTAGGTTTTAGTGGAATAGATAGAAAATACATCAGTTTAAAGTTAACTTTACAATTTCTGGGTCGGTTTTACCCCACTTCACCTTATATTACTTTAATACACAACACTTACTACTACTTCTACTCCTACAACCCTACAACTACGTTTACGCAATTGTAGAATGGCCTTTAAGCCTCCGCTACAATGATTCTCGGTTCTGTCTACAATGATCGTACAGTTATATCGATGGTCGCTTGAGCAGTCGCAAAGCAGTCGTAATCGTAGTCGCTCGAATAGGTTCAATTCCTATTCCAACGACCACGACTGCGATTTATTGCCGCGACGGACCAATCAGAGAATAGTGTTATATGTCGAATATATCGTGTACGAATACCTCAAAAACAGAAAATCGGTTTCAGTTATACATCGATACGACCCAATCCATGACTCTACGATTCTAAGACTGCGACTATTGTAGACAGAACCGAGAATCATTGTAGCGGAGGCTTAAACCTTTTACACTTTATACTACTCCCTCGGATAAGTTGCAAGTAGGATTAGCTTTAGGTATAGAAGGGGTATTGGATGTGGTAAAAGTAGGATCATCCCTAGGTGTAGAATGGGCATTAGATAATAGAGAAATATTCTCCTCGTCATATAGGTTACAAACTGATAAATGAATTTATCATATAAAGATATTAGTTATTTCTACTATTTTACAATTTACTATTTAAATACATTTCGACCCGTAATCGGCAGCCATTTGCCGCACGCGAGCTACAGCCTCGGGCGTACCGTATTTCACTTCCAAATTTATCCATTTCATGAAGAGAGGTTTCATGTTTTTCATTGGAAACGTTTGGGCGCACGCCCGCTCCAACACTTTTCTGCAAATAAAAAATATCCCTTACATAAAATGTACTAAAGAACTAAAAATTCAGATCCGAAACTGATGTATTCTGATAATGTATATTCATCATTGCACGCTACATTTGAGTAATACCATAAAATTTTTATGTACCTGGCAAAATCGATGTTGTTAGACTTTATGAAGGAATCGGCGTAGTCTGACCATATGTAGTAGCTGTGTTTGGGATAAAAACTCAGGGCCATCTCGAATATACCTTCCGCTTCTTCGCTGTCTCCCAGTGTGTTCTCCAAAATTCCAAATTGTATCAGCATGTAAGGGCCTGCAAACGCACGTCATAGTTTTAAATTAATATTATGATACTGAAATAAGGTGAGGCAATGTTTATGTATGTGTACTTACGCAGCTCTGAGGGCAAGATGTTCAATGATTGCCGCATGAGCCGCCGCGATTTCTTCTTCAAGCCGAGTTTCAGCAACGCCGAGCAGCATTTTATCCACGTGCCGGGTTCGTACTTAAACTCGCTGGCGAAACTGCCGGTTATGGTTTTGATCAATCCCATAAGCTCTTTTTTTCTACCGGCGTCCTCGTGCACAGTCAGCATGTGCCGGCACACCTCTCTCGGATTGTTTCTCGGATTCTTCTTTATGGCCTTCTGGAACACGTCGTTCAGAGACTCGGCGGTGCCGTATCTGGACTCCAGGTTGATCCATGCCTTCCACACGTTCCATAAATCATTATACTGCTTGAAGTGGATCTTTTTCAAGGCCACTCTCGCGACCGCTCTCGCCTTGTTGATCTCCGTAGCCTGCAGATAACACGCCATGTACTGCATCCACAGTAGCGAGCTATCGGGGTTCGCCAAGACCAATTTGTTAAATTGATCGACCGAATTGGGTATCTGATTGCTCGCCAGAGCCTCCTCTCGCTCAGACACCTTTTTCTTCTTCACGTGCTTGGTCTTGGTAGCTGATATTTTCGACACGGTCATGCTCTTCGGTACTTCGAATGCGGACTTTAGCAAACAAATTGGAATACTGCCAGTATCGCTCTTCGTCATTACAACGTACACCCGGATCTTAGTGTGGATCTTGTAAGGAGTTAGATCGGGAGCAATGTCGTTGATGTGTCGACGGACAGGTAGAGCTGCCAAGTGTCCCAAGCCGTTGTGCTTCACGAGAATGAGTACGAACCAATCGAGAACGAGCAAGATTTTCGCTTTCAGCATAACCCCGGTGGGCAATTCTGGCAGTTGCATATTCTGCAAAGTGATACCGTTTCCTATGCTCTTTACCAACGTCACGTTGAGGATATTATGCGGATAATTCTTCCACATGATTGTGCCGCACACCGAGTCCCCCAATTTAGGGTTGCCGATGCAATGTTCCTTGCGTACAATGCAGTTCAGTCCGTCGGACACCCGAAACAGCAGACCCTTTTCTATGTCCTCAGTTATGTCTTCGACAACGCCGACGACTTTTTGACCTAGATACACCGACGAGATCGGCTTGTCCACTTGCTCATAGATATCTTCTTGATCCTGCTGTGTGCTGAGGTAGTAACGCAAGATGCCCACCGCCGTCGTCATCTTGTCTTCGTAATCGGTCAGACACTCGTACACGGCTTTCAGCGACATCGTCAAAGTGAGCTGTCTCTCTTGCGAATTGATAGCTGTGATTTTAACAAATAATATCTGATTCACGCGCAGTTTCTCGAAATTGCTGATACGTTTGCGGGATACAAAACCGAACTTGAAATAATTATCGATCGGCAGGACAACTTTCACGCCGTTCGGCAATATTTCCCAGACCGAGGATGGAATACTGTCACCCACTTTCAACGAGTCGAAGTTCCTGTATTTGTGTTGCGTCACTAAAGTGTGTGTTAGTAGCACGGTTGGTGCTGTGGCAAAAACAATACTATTGATGACGTCTCCAGGAGCGTATCTCGCTGTCAGCACTGCGCCGATTTCGGTGCACAGAGCCATGTGTGCAGCTGGCAAGAAAGCCGTCACGGCAGCTTCGTCATCTTTCGTCTGTAGCTTCACATATATCCCTTTATAGGTCCTTTCCGACACTGTTCCTTTGACCATCTCTCCGACAAATAGGTCGACTGGTCTTTTCTTCTCTTTCACGATTGTCAGGTTCATTCTTCGCTTGTCCTTCTCCACCGATTCGACGCGCACTGTGACTGTCTGGCCGATGAAAAAGTTCCAATTCATGTGCTCCGTATCGGGGTTTAGTGTAGCACGCGAAACCCAGCCTTCTACCAGCCCGTAAAATCTCACCAGTAAGCCGTTCCTATTTATAAAGCTGACCGTACCGTGATACTTCGATCCGCATTTGGCTTCGCCGAAATCCTGCAAAATTGGCAATTGGCTGTGTACTAGTGACCGCTTTAGCGTGAAGTTCACCCGATTTTTGTCGCGATCTACATCCAGGACTCTCGCCTGGACCTTGTGGAGTGTCCCCAGTCGTTTCATACAGTTTATGCCGCTATCGGATATGTGTTCACGCGGGACAATTCCATACATCATTCCAAGTCCCACGGCTACGTAGTTATCAGTCGGTTCACCAAAGATCGCCACATCGTGAACATCTCCAATATTAAAGTCAGAAGCTGAGAAATAGATCTCTTTCAAATGTGAGGCATCCGTTGTACAGACGTAAAGGTGTTGCAGCAAGTTGTACGAGACGACTCTGCACTTATACGTGGAACCTACTTCGAATTTGGTTGAATCGTCATACAAACCAGAATTGTCCTTGAGGAAAGCGACATATCCACGTAGACCACGAGATTTAGATAACTTGAGGACTACTCCATCGACTACTTTGTAGAGACATTTGGCTCTCTCTATAATATCGCCTACGCGTAACATCTCCTTTTCCGACTCGTTGGTCAGCAGACTAAAGTACGCAAATTTCGCTAGTAGTTGTCTGTACAATAACGTGCCAATCACTTCCATGTTGACTGTATATGTAGATAAAGGATTGCTTAGATAAATTTGATTTATGTATCCAACATTGTCTTCCCCAAACGTAACTCGTAGGCCGTCGGAGAGCACTGTTGTTACACGAAGCAACAGTTTTGTTCCCGGCGTTAAGACGTCCCAAGATTTTACGTGTGAATTCACCCTGTCAATCCGTGTCTTTTTAGCTGTCAATTGGATGAAAGATGGTTCACTTATAGTGTCAAAATTCTTGACTGCACACAAGATTTGACTACCTGTAACTATAAAATTTATGATATTAACATATTACTTTTCCTGAAGGACACATGCAACGATACTGTTTCGTTATTTTTACGGAATTAGTTGTACTTACAATATTGCTTTCCTTTTTCAACTTGGTCATAGGCGAGAAATGCTTCAACACCTATGCCTGTGTCCATTAAATAGCCATGTTCCTCTATACATTTGACAGAGCAAACAATTGTTGAACCTTTTGCGAGATAATTGATAGAAATATTTTGATTTATTAATTCCGGGTCCAGAGACAATGAGCAGTGTATGTCGGAGCTCAAGTCACGTACAACTACGACGTAGCACGTTACGTAATCGCCATATTTGAACATATGTGTTAAAGACACGGGTACTTTGCCCTTGACCATTGCGATTAAGTCTTCCAACTGTTTTGTGTACGCCTTACTGATATCACTGACATCCACAGATCCCACGAGTCCATCTGGCAAAGACACTATCAACTCGAATTGTTTCACACAACGAATCCGGCCAAGCAATACGTATCCTTTGCATAGCTGTTGTTTAGAGAATTGTTGTGCAATATTGAGAGCAATATTTGTTTTTTCTTTGCCTGCAGTTTTTTCCTTTGTTTGTATTTTACGCTTTTTAGGTTTAAGCTCGTCCTTGGATGTCTAAGAGGTTATTACACAAAAGTGTTATTATTCGTTGTGCCCGCGCATTGTGTAGCTCTTCATTATGTACATTGTCTTTATGTAAAACTTTAATCGAATAAAATTGATATTTAAAAAAAACAGTTTTCAAATATGTACATCCAGAGATGCGATTTAATAATGCGGATTACTGTAATACTTTAAGATAAAGTAAAATATTATACTTTTTTTCTGTGAATTTCCTCTTAAAATAAACTTAAAAGAAATTAAAATAAGTATTTACCGTGGTTGCAGACCTCTTAGTTCCAGGTTTCTTCCCACCTCGAGGAAAACTTTCCATCTAAAAACATACCAATGATTAATCAAAGAAATCGTTATTAGAATTACAATTCCCCGTGAAAAAAAAAATATAATTTTAATATAGTTTAATTTAACCTTTATTAAAAGTTAATAAGATAATAATAAGATTTTAATAAAGATTCAGTATTTTATTAAAACCTTATAAAGATTTAATTTAGATCATATAAAGATCTATATCAAGTTTTATATAGTGCTTTATTAAATGTCTTTATATGGATTGGGCAAAATGATATCGATATTAAATCATATAAGATGCCTTATTAAATATATTTATATTGGATTTTACAATCTACCTATATTTGATCTTAATAAGGAGCTTATGAATTCTTTATATGTTTTAATAAGGTATTTTGATAAACGTTAACCTGAATAGATCACTAGTACCACATACTGCCGCGACGTGGCGACCGCGCGTTAGTCTTTCTCGTATGTAAAAATCATCCCGTATTAGTATAAGAGGCGAGCCGCGACTGCGATATACGCATACATTTTGATATGTCAAAAATGCGTAATGACGCTTCCCGTGAAAAAAAATGAATATGTTTCAAATAAGGAATTTAATAAAAGTTTTAGAAATTCTTTATAAAAATTTAATAAAGAATCCATATAAAAT